CTGCACTTCTCTGCGTGGATCACCGTGGATCCAGGAGGGACGCAGGCCTCCAGGTCGAACATCACCACGCCGACGTGCACGCCGGCCTGGCGTGGTGCATGCAGGGCCCCCGGAGCCAAAGCCCTCAGCAACACTTCAACGACCTGCCTTGTGAAGCTGGAGGCCCATCTGGTGCGCCAGGACACAACCGTAGGAGTAGCCTCGCAGACTTGTGCATCAGGAGTTCTACATGCTCTCCCGCCCTCAACACACAACAGTGACAGAACTCCGTGTGCCTGCCACGATGATCGGGGCAGCGGCCTCTGCGATCAATGAAGCACAACGACTTTTGCGTTGAGCAGGTAGCTCGCCTGTGCTGCGCCCCCTCCGCTGTCTGCAAGCACCTCCCAAACGACGCGCAAACTCTGCACTGTGGAGCAAACCTAGTGCGAAACCTGTCTTCCTAGCTCCGAAGCATGCGCTTTGTAGCGCTTTGATGCATTTTCTCGTGTGGCTGCACTGATGAGTCCAGGCACTCTCCGGTTGTAGCAAGCTGCCAACTCCGGAACGGAGTTGCACTGGAGTGCCTCGCGGCAGGATCATGTCAGGTTGCAGTAACCAAAGGGGCGGGAAGCGTGCCGAAAGTTGGGCCTCGGCATCGTAGAGCAAAGCGCTCACCCTGCGACGCGGCTGTGCAAGAACCGCCAAGCATCTGGACCGTGCGGTGCTCAAGACACTCCCTCCTGCATGGCTTCAGCTCGTTGGCAATGGTCTGGAAGGTGGCCCCGCCGCTCATGGCGTCCCCATCGATTCCTGGGCCACCACCCAGTTACGGATATTCAAGGCTCCCACAAAAAGAAACAGACTAAAACCTACACTGCAGACAGTAGTGTCGGGATTGGCATGACAAGCTGCTCTTTAACTCATGTTGGCTCAGTCCCTAGCAGATCGCGCCCCCGCGATCTTGATCCAGCTGAATCTAGCCGCTATGCTACGTAAACAGACTCCAAACGACCGACTGGTATCCTTTGCCGCCTTCTACCCCATCTGGACTATCATCCTTAGTGCCCCACCGTGCACCAAGTAGACTTTAGCAGCCACGGACTCACCTTTCCTGCCAGGCAGAAGCTGTCTTTATCTCATTTCAAAGCCAAGCGCCTGGACCAATCGGTTGCAGCGGGGCCTCAATACCAACAACTTGTCCCGGCCGGTCGCCCTGTCGAGCGCCTCCCAGCGATGCAGCAGCAGAACCGAAGAAGCTGCAAGGCATCGCAGAGCCCCACAGAAGGTTCAAGCAGTGAGCGCCTGCCCATTG